TTGCAGGAAATTCACAACTGGCTTGGATGATACCAAATCCTAGATCCTTCTGTCATCAGAGCTAAAATGAGGATCTGGACCACTACATTAGAGTTACAAAAGTGCTATAAGAACCCACTGGCAACAAGTCTACCTTTAAATAGAGACACATAACTGACAGTGTGGATTATGTTCATTTAGATAGCCTGGTTTATAAAAAATCCTCTTCCAAATCTCCCTCTTCTTCATTCTTAGCCTAGAGCCTAGTACTCAGACATGGGACTAGCTCTATCTACAATGTCTTAATCACTATTTTTTTCCTCACTGCAGCAAACTGCTTAGTTTTGCAGCTGATCATAAGACCCATTGATACCACTAATGGCAGTTCTAAAATGCATTCCAAATGTGACTGGAAGCCCAATTCTTTCTCTTTTTTTAACCAATCCATACTGTATGTCCTTTCCCTTGAGACTCTTAAGGTACCTGAAGAGGCTGATTACAATTTTTTGTTATTTACTGGGGACTGGGTTTAAATCCACTATACCATGAACGGGTTCAGATTTCTTTGTCTTGGGTTTTCAGTAAGTTCATAAAAATGCCAGTATGCACTGATGAGAATTATATCCCAGAAAGAAATGATGGCTTGATATAATTAGCTTCTTGGCAACCCTGAGCAAATCACAGGCTTGTAAGTCTTGAACAGGGAGAAACATATCTGATGTATGGCTGGAGTTCAGTAGCGTACTGCCATTTTCAAAATCAGTATACCTGGAAAGGCAAGGATGAATCAGAGAAAAAATAAAGTAATGCTTAAAGTAAAATAAGTATAAACACAAATAACTTTGTATAAGGAAGTCCACAAGTTTGGGCATGTGGCAGAAATGGAAACAGAATCATCACAGTGAATATTTGTGCATAGCCCAGAGAAGAAAAGATTTCCCAACTTCAGCTGAATAGAATGTAGTGACTGCATTGAGAAAGAATCTCATATTTTATATTCAGGTTTTCCCAGAACATATTCCTATCAGCTGGGGGCCTCGTTTTCAGACATCTGAACTGAGATTCTTTTCACCCAGCAAATGCTAAAAGCTAATAATCTCACCCCGAGTGACTCACTCCTTTTACCCAATGGAAACAGCTACATCAAACGAGGACAAATATCTCATATCCTTACAATGAAATGAAACACACTTCAGAGGTTCCTACTTCTCTCCATTGATTACAGAAGATCCTAAACTAGAGCACAGCTAGTCTTAGCCAACCCATCAATGCCTAACTTAGGCAGAATGATTATACTCTTGATCCTTAGTTCCCAGTTCATAATTGTTGAAGCTTCTCAGAAGAGCTGAACCATGCAACCAAATTGCAGGAATGTTTGTCAAAAAATACCAAACCCAATTCAACCAGAAACTGAAGAGCACTTCCTTAGCTGGAGGTTAGGCATGTCCCCCATTTGAACTCTTCCTTAAAAACATATGATTAAGCTCTGGAAGCAGAGCTTTGACAAGTGATGTTCTTGAATTGCAAGAACTTCACTATATTACTCTTAAGGATGTTACTGAAGTGAGAGAACTGAAAGGAAAGGGTAAAGGAAGACCTGAAAACTTAATGTGAGTTAGCTGTTGGGTCAGTTGTCTAGATTCAGAAGAGATGTAGGAAGCCTTTGTAGACTGGAAGCCCATCCAATAAAAAGGAAAGACAAAACCAGTCAGTACAGAGTCAAGGGCATATCTCACTTATTAGTGGCCTTTAATAAAAGATTCTGAAAGAGAGTTTTTCTGTAGCTCTTTTATTATTTCAGTTTAGAGTGTTAACTGGCAAAGCATATGAAGATAAGGAGCTTTATGAAATGTTTCTACACTTGACAAAAGTTTTGCTCATGTGGTGGCCTCCAGAATATTTTTAATTAATAAAGCAAAGGGTATAATTTATCAGCTAAGGGTAGAGGTACTAAAGTTGCTTTCTGAAGATAAAGTCTATATTGAGGAAGAAATTAAGCAGCTTGATATAGACGTACATATTTTGAAAAGGTAGAGGATGAGAAGTATGACAGCCACAGTACCTTTCCTAATGTATTCTGACAGTTAAAATTGATAGACCCGAAGAAATCCAAGCTTTCTTGTTTGTTCACTAAGCTTAGGTTGTTCTTCTACTAGGGACACATAAAAAAAATCAGCATATTGATAAATGGGTAGTGCATTTTCAAGTTGCTTTCTATAAATAAAGTAATATTAAAATATGGTAATAGCAGCACCAAAGTTTTACAATTACTGATTTTTCTGCATTCTATATATCTTTTCTTGCAGTAATTGTATACAACATTGCTTAGTTATATAGATAGTGAAATTTTTGTTTCTTTATGTTTTGAGAAGTCGTCACTGTGTTTGGTATTCCACCTGTACTGGAAGGTTGCCCTTCTAGTATTAACCAAAGGAATTTTTCCCATTTCTTTTATACTGGAGTAAGTTCTTTGTCTTTTCCCATGCAGAAACCAACTGGAAGAATGCTCTTTCGGTTCCAAAAAAAGTAAGAACTTCAGTATCATCCCCTTTCAAAAAACAAAAAAACCCCAAACAACCAAACAAACCCCAAAACAATAATCGAGCGAAAACTTAGAAAGCCATAGTGTTTTACAAGATTTTAATATTTTACCTTCCCTATTACTTGTCAAGAGTCTGGCACATTCTACAGGGCATTTCAGTAGGCAGCCACCACAACCAAAAATGTAATTGACAATCAAAGTATCGATCTTGTCAACTTCATTTGTATTTAAAAGGAGTTGATACAGAAGACCTCTGTGCAAGCTTAGGGAATTCTACAACTTCCCCTGTTGTTTCTTATCTACTGTACAATGCTTTGCAGCTCATCTTCCCTGTTTTGCCAATGTTGTAATGTTGGTGTCAGTAGCAAGGCCAGCCAGAATTGGGATTTCAGCAGAAAAATTTGGGAACAAAACCCTAAGAATTTCTGCATAGCAAAGCAATCCAGCATAAGGATATTGGCAAGCTTTGCATAACATGGGTTTGAACAACATGAAGCTTCATGCAATGCTGAAATACTTCTTGTTTGGTGAGTGGAAGCACTGTCAGTGATGCTGTGCTTCATTGTCTCAGTTACTAAAAGAGTTTTGAAGTGCAACCCTAATCACAAAAGCATTGTTAATGCTTTGTGACAAATTTGAAGCTGATTAAATGTTTATTTACTTTATAGAACACACAAAGAAGCTGTGTAAGTAGCTATCATTTATCTCAAAGGGCTCAAAAGGTACAGCAATCACAGGAAAGCAAGCAAAACGAGAATGTTAGATGAAAAAGGCAGAAGGGAGTGTCAGCCTTCCTCCAGTATTTCCTACCCCTCCTTCCTATTGGTTTCTTTTTTTAACCTCTTTTCAGCTTTCCAGTGATATCTTTGTACTCATGCCTATGTAATTTCTACCAATATTTTCTTATTCCTTTGCTTTTAATGTGCCCTGTTTCAGTACAGACAGTACAGATTGCTCAGTTTTGGGAAAGGGCTTCAGGCATGGCAACAGGCAGAATTTGAACTCTCTCTTTGAACTGCCTCTTTTATGAAATTCATCACCTGTAAAAGAGCTAAAGAATATAACAATTGGTTTATTCAGAGGGGATATAACCAGTTCATAGGCACTCTTCTGTGCCATTCAGAAAGCAGCTGTCAGACTAAATAAAAATACATGATAAAACAAACTCATATTTTTAATTGATATTAATCTAGCTGCATCCAGCTATAAAATGCTCCCCATTGATGATATAGCAAATAGTGTGACTGCAATTAGTTAGCAATTCAATGTGCCTTCCAGAAAACAGTCTTCAAACCTTCCTGGAAATAACTTTCTTCTGTCATAATGAACAAAAATTTTTGAGACATATGAAACCACCAGGTTTTAAAATCACTTCAGATCTGTATTTTGACATTTTTGTGCTCTTTCTGAAATTAAAACAGAAGCTTTGGTGGGTAAGGCAATGGATACTGGTTTTAAAGGGAAATAAATAACCGTGTCACGTCCTAGCATATAGAAACACTTTTGAAATCATTACTGAAGGGAACATTTATACACTATGTTTTTATCTTTTGCTAGTCCTGGCAAATGGATGATCCCAGAGACTGTTCTACAGAACTGTTGTATTTCATTTCACATTATCTTAAAGGTAGTATTACCATGATTTAGAGATAGTCTTCTGTTCATATTTCTAATTTTGCAACATTTTGTGATCAAAAGGAACAATATATTTAGATTATTCACTAAAAAAAACCCCAACCCACTAGCAGTAATCAATCCATTAGTGTACCACATGCCATACATAAGTAATTCTGGAGCATCCTCTGGTAAAAGGGAAAGTCTTCACTGAACTTCTCTACTTCTGATACTGCTAATTATCTCAAGTTGATTACACAGGTTATTCTTTCAGCACTGAATCCATTACAGGCTTGTTTTAAGCATTCTCAGCCATATGTGCAACCCTACAGTAGTTGTTTCCTCTGGATGACCTACAGATTTACCACATGTGTTGCTACATTCAGGGAGGTAAAGCAGCACTTTCTAACATATAGCAACAAAGCTACAACTGAAAAGAGCACTGAGGTAAGAGTAACTGCCTCTGATTAGCTCCCTTCTGTTTACTCACCAACCCACCCCCTTCCTTTTTGTGGTGCAAATAGCTTTGTCATTGCTGTTGACGTGATAAGCAACAGCTGTTGATTTCCAAGCTGATACATTTGGATTCAGATTTTTGAATGACTATTATTACCCTTGTTCCTTTTTTTTTTCACCTGAGTCACTTTTGTTAATGGGTGTTATTTTGAAGCATGAAGACTAAACTGTCATTCACCTGTTCTTGGTAGGAGATAGGCTCATCCCAAGCTGTTATTGAAAGGTCAAAGGAAATTGTTTCCTTTGGAGTTTTTATTTTACTGTTATTGAGGTACTAGTTGCTAATGAGATGGCTTCACAAAATGACCAGAAATGAGTAAAAAATCATATGCAGTTCTTCTCAGTGTGTGTAAAGGTTGTGCCTAGTTTTACAGCTGATTCCTCGGTTCCCATCAGTTTTACAGCTGATTCCTTGGTTTCCATCAGTTTCTGTCAGACCAACACTAGGCTGTAGCTGATTGCCCTGGTAAGTAAGAGCCTGGAAAAGGAGCTTGCCTTCTGTTTGTCTCATTGTTTTTGTGCTGTTTTGAGGTAACTGCCTTGCTGCTCAGTGTGCTTCAGGGGCAGCCTGGCCCTTAAAGTATCCCTGTTGCTGACGTTTTGTTGCCTCGTTCTTTGGTATACTTGAAAGTCTGCTCAGTTACTGAGCCTACCTTGACTGCAGACCATTTCTTTCCTGCTCTCGTCAGGGGGAAATGCCTCTTGATTATTGCTTAATCTCAGTTGATTTGCACGGCAGCATTTAACTCTACTGCAACAGGGTCTGAAATTTTTATTGGGAAACTCTTGAGACTTTTTTCACCAATGCCCTTTCGCAGCAGAGTGAATCTATTTCACTTTCCCAGCACCTGCTAAGATTTCTTCTGCCCCTGGTTTCTCGTACTTTTAAAATCATGTAATGTTGTTCTGTTGAATAAACTAAAGACAGTTTAGTGTCTGTATTTTTCCACAGTTGTCATTAATTCCAGTTGTATTTGTGCATGTGAAGGAAGTAAGACTTCCCTTGGTTCCCTAAATTTATCTTTATGGAGGAGAAGTGAATGATCTTTATTAATGTGGTAATATTGCACATTTTTCCTTTTCAAGAATTTTCTCTCAAAGTAGAGTTACAGGTGTAATATATTACTGTGACTAAGCATAATGAAATATCACTTTAAGAAAAAATTATTTTTAGTAGTCACCTAATGATCCCTACCTTTAGTTTAAATACTCTCTATGGAATAACATGAGATTATTTTTGCCTCAAGGCTATTTCTATTAGATAGATGAAAAATATCTGTAATTTATATGTTAGCTTCTCTTTATTAATGATTTTTGCCTGTAGGACTTTCAGCACTTTTACATACTTCTTAAATGTATTGATTCATTTGACATCCTCTGGAAGTCAGATATAATTATAATAAAAAAAGTGTTTGTTTACTGGAATAATTTTTTTAAATTGTAAAAAGAATACAGTGCTCATGCTAGAAAAAAAAATTCTGATTGTGAATCTAATGAGGATTATGTTGCTAAGTGTTTCTGTCTCCTAAAAGGCAAGAAATGGATAGCCACAGTATGACATCTTAACACCAATGGATGAGTGTAACTCACAGCTGCGTTTCTTTGAGTTTTGAACTGCTGTTGAAAGCAACCAGATGCTTTACATATTCTGTGTAATGCTGCGTCCTTGAGTCAAAAAGTGAAATATGGAAATGGAAGATACTCTGAATCTAAAAGCATAAATTTCCACTAAGTCAGCAAAACTGCTGTGCAAAAATTGACCATAGTGACTACATATAGAGTGCATTTAAGAGCTCAAAAGAGCCAAATCTTACTGCGCTTTCTTTTCTTTTGAGATGGAATTCTAATTCACTAATTCATTTGAGTGTTTCATGGTTTTTTTTATTAGGTTTTTTGGGTTTGTTTGGGGGTAGAGGTTGAGTTTGGGATTTTTTTTTCCTTGTAACAATAAGTAATAGATGAAAAAGTGTACTAATTATTTTGTGAAGCAGAGCTCCTTCCCTGTCTTGCATTGCACTTAGTGCCCATTTAATGATGTATTTTGTGTTACCTTCATGGACTAAAAACAGGACTAAAGAAGATGTGACATAAGATATGATTTACATAGGAAATGTTTCTATTCTGATAAATTTGTAAGTTTTCATAGATAAAAACCTTTTCTTTCTGAGGACAAATGAAAGGACTGAAATGTTGATTTTATGGGAGTAACTGCTCTAGTTGAAGACAAATGTATTTGATTTTTAGTAGATTCTAGCAGTGTGTATTTATTTTAGATTTATTTGACACATTAAAAAGCACCCATCCAGGGTTGGAAATGCCTTTGACATTTATTGAAAATACAGCCGTACTCTAAGCAATTGTTGATTCTTCCCATAATTATACAGCCTAGGACTCAGCAAAGCCTGTTTATAACTTTAAGTACATACTTAAATGCTCTGATGGATAGGACAGCTCGGCTACTACATGGCAGTGAGAAAGAATGAAATGGAAAGGTCATGTTCTCTTCTCTGTTTGAGTCAATCTGTCAGGGCAAAGAAACCAGAAATTGGACACATTTTACTATGTGGATGTGGGACCAGCAAAGCCAGATTTTATTTCACTCTCTCTCTCAGAACAGCGCCAGAGAAATGTGAAGAGGCACGTGGCAGGAACTCATCAGCCTGTAACACATCCTATGGCTGTTACAGTATCTGGTGAAAATGAGATCAGAGAAAGGAGAAAAAGACCTAATGTGATCTATGAGAGTTTAGGAGCTGATCCTGATCAGGCAGTTGCAAAGAATATCCTTACTCTTGCCTCAAGCATAGCTCAAACAAATGCAGTGTTACAATACTCAAAGTTAAGAAAATGTGGATCACTTTAAAGATTTTTTTCTTCCTGTTTGATTCATTAGGAAGAGACAGTGAACTCCAGTTAAATTGATGGATTCTTGAGACCAGTTTTACTGCTTCCACAGCCTCTGTTCAAGTAGTTTTACTTAGATGAATGGCCCTTTTAATTTTTTAAAATTTTTTTTTAAAAGGGGGGTGGGAGGAATTCCCAATATGATTCTCTGTAGATCTTGCATATTCTCAGTGACCTACATAATTTTTTCCACCACTTTATGTCTTTGTTATATATATAAACACTGGGATTTAGGCCTCTTTCTGAGAAGGAAATGCTGCAAACAAAAGAGTAGATGTACTGTTTCTGTTACAAGTGTCTTTTTGCAGCCATCTGAGGGGATAAAGTGAACTATAGCATCTCCTTAATTATAATTTTTAAGGAGAAATATGTAGGTAACTCTGTTTTAAGTCACAGCTTAAAAGTGCAGGAAACTATCAACCCCATATTCACTCCATGCTATAGATCATGAAAATCACCTGCCTGAATTCTCAGTAGTTTCATGGTGAAATCTTATGCACTGGGGAGAGAAACTAAGTAAGTTTTTAATAAAACTTTATTTGGGAAAGTAACTGTCCTTCTGCTGTGCATTGAAGACAAAAAGATTGGTG